GCTAATCTGGCCGTAACGTTTCTCCACGTCCGGTTCTGACTATGCGAAGCTGCTCGGGCCGAGGGGCCCTCCTGGCGCGCATCCGAGTTCGGACAGCAGAACAGCAGCCTGCCAGGTCCGCCGTCCGTCATCACACCTTCTTCCCAGGTGTCTTCACTCTGCTCTCTTGGTGACTGTACATTTCAACTGTACAGGAAAGAGAAACATAATACGAGAAGGTCTGATTGCTGAGTTTCCGTGCAGAGACTCATCGTAGACGCTACGTGGGTGCTGAACAAGTCTCCTGACTCCTACTCCGGGCCGCGGGAACAGACTTTACACACAGAGTGACCATCAAGAGAGACAGGCCCTTAACGGGATTTTCTTCCGAGAGAGGGAGAAAGATGATAAGCAAATAAATCAGCAAAACAGGCACGGGTTGTGATAAACAATCAACAGGACCCTGTGACAGAGGTGAGCAGGGCCCTGGCCGGTTTGGCTCAGTGGTTAGAGCGTCCGTCTATGGTCCAGAGAGTGAGCAGGGAGTTCGGGATGGCTCTTCTCAGGAGACGACGTTCATCCTGGAGCACAGAAGATGAAAGGAGTTGGCCACTTGGAGACCTGGGCAGAGTGTTACAGGTGACCATCGGCACGACCGCCACTTCGGACCGTGGAATTCTGCTGTGGGGTCTGGTCCACTGCAGCGTGGTTAGCAGCCTCCCCGGCCTCTCCCACTGGATCCTGGTGCTGACGCCCCACCCCACACGTACACACAGGAAATGTGACAGTGTTTCTGCCCACTGCCAAATGTTCCTGGGGGATGACATCACCCCTAGTTGAGAACCACTGCTCCAGACAAGGGAATTAAGAATGCAAAGCCTTGAGCAACATGAGATGCAGTGAGGGAGCTAAGGACAGGCCATTCGGGGTCTGCAGGCCTCGGCAAGAATTTGGATTTTCTTTTACATAAATGGTAAGTCACCGAACAATTTTAAGTTGGGGAAGTAACAACTCTACATTCAGAAGACTACTCGGGCTCCTGTGTGGGAAACACATTGAAATCTCCAAGGATAAATGAGATCTCAGGGCCAGGCATTGAGGTAGACTGAAGAGGAGCGGCCAGTGACGGGGGCAGAGCCAGGCGAGGCCAGTGTCACAGGCCCTGGGACGAGGGGTGGTGGGCGGTGACCTCACTGTTCCGGTGATCTCAAGTCACAGCCTGAAGACTTTTCTGGAACAGCTCTGGTTTAGCTCATCCTCTTGCTTAGTGTAATTTCCTCTACAGATCTTCTCTATATAATTCCAAGCTGGTCATCTTGTTCAAGAACATACAAAGGCTTCCTGTCATAGCCCCACATTGGTCTTGTTTATTCCTGTTGCTAAAAATTTGCTCTTGAAGGAGTCATGCCTCTCCTCAATGCCTTCAATATGCCTGCCCACGAACCCTGCAAGCTGAGGTCCGTGTCTGATCTCCCACAGAAGGTCCCCTAACAATTCTGGTCCACACAGATGTCTTTCTTCTCTAAAAAAATCAATCAATCAATAAAACCTCCAATTTTTCACTCCATCCACTGAACACGTACCTGTTAGGCATCCATGCCAGGCACTGTGCTATGCCCTGGAAATAAAACAATGCAAAAATATGGTCTCTGTGCTCCAAGGGCTCAGTAAGGAAAATAAAACTTGTTAGCCTTCATCATTTCCTTAATGCGTTCAGGAAAACAGCAGTTTGTCTAGTATCTAATCCTGAGCCAGCCTTTCAGACGCTCCTTCTTCAGCCTTGGCTCACCACCCTGCCCAGCTCAGCCCTGGCTCGCCACGCCTTTAGCTGTTAATCATCTCCTGGAACTACAGGACCACAACTTCTAAGGACAGAACATTGCTACCCCTACTACTCATCTGAGAGAGGGTGGGTCCAGCCACACCACAGCCCATTTCCCAGTGAGTTACACTGCAGAAGAGTAGTGACAGGTGTGTAAGTGTGACGGTGCAGGCGATGTCAACTCCGGCTGGGCCTCAGCCAAACAAGGCAGTGGCCTCCGGGCCGCCAACTCTGTCCCCTCGCGTGATCTTATGCCAGCGTGAGGTGCAGAGATCTTCGGAAATTTGGGTCCATCCAAATATAATGATCCCGTCATACACACATACATGGCCCTCAAAGACAAACAGTAATTCTCAGAGGCAATACACTGAAAACCTGCGCTGCGATGTTCCGAACTGCAAAGTTTTCCGGGAGCCTTTGTAGTTCCGAATGTCACACTGTAGCTTTTAAATGTATCTTAAAATGCGTATTTCTGTCCTGACATGCAGGACAGTGTCAGTTTTCCTCATCTCCATGTTCGCTGCTGACTCACCTCTTGACACTTAACGCGTAACTTATTACACAGCTGTCATTTGAAACTCAGTACTCTGACACGCCAGGAACGGGCAGAAAGTTTGAAATTTTATGACTATAAAAGTGTAGTCAGGGTTGAGTCAAACCCTTGGGTGAACTGCATGGACATTCTTCTGGAATCTCCAAACGAGGAAGGCAGAGAGCACGAGTCTAGGATCCACGGTTTCCATTTTTGTTGTTGTTGAACATTCCTCCTCTTGTCTCCTTGAGCAATCTCTTCCCCATCATGGACTTACCTACCAGGTGTCCGGGAGGTAATTTCAAATAAGTTCAAATTATTTTTTCAAAGAGTAGAGGTGGGGGTTGCTTCATCAGTTATATTTGCACAGAAATAATTATAGTACAATATCAATGTGATTATAGAAATGAGGCCAAAAACGACAAAGGAGGGCAAGTCTATCTTGGAAAGCTATGAAAGGTTCCACGGGGGAGACCAGTGTTCGTCCGAGACCTGGAGGATCTTGAGGGAACCGAGCCGGATGCTGGAAAAGCAAGGAGTTGAGTGTGGCTAGTTGAGTGGAGCAAATAGATAAGAGTATAAATGAGGGCCTGGTCGGTGTGGCTCAGTGGTTGAGCATCGACCCCTGCACCAAGAGGTCACCGGTTCGATTTCCGGTCAGGGCACGTGCCCAGGTTGTGGGCCAAATCCCCAGTGGGGGGGCGTGCAGGAGGTGGCCAATGGATGTTCTCTCTCAATGATATTTCTCTCTCTCTCTCCCTCTCCCTTCCTCTCTCTCTAAAATCAATAAAGAAAAAAAAATGTAAATGAAGTTACCAGTCTGGGGCCAGTCCATGAGGGGCTGTACTGGTGATGGGGAGCCCCTGACAAAATCTTGGCAGAGGAATATCATAATCATATTTTCATGTCAGAGAGATCACTGGTAGAACTGAGGCTGGACTGCAGTGCAAAGTAAGTAGAGGCTATTGCAAGAGTCCAAGGGAGGTGAGTCGGGAGATGGGGTGACTACTTGATTAATGAAGACAGTGAGAGTAGAGATTTAAGGGGGCGGGGGTGGGTGTGACAGGTACTCGAGGAGATAAAAGCCAACAGAATTCGGTAACAGAATAAAGGAAATGAAGGAAATATAATGTAGGGGTACTCATGGATTTCTGCCTTGGGCAAGTGGGTGCCATTATCTGAAGCAAGGAATGAAAATGGGCTCGGTTCCAGGTGGGGAGGGCGAGACGCAGCATCCGAAGCAGGAGATGGGAGATGCCGATGTCGATGTCGATGTGGGACACCTGTAAAGTACCTGTGTGAAGTCCAAATGAAGATGCTGTTGCTTGAACGGGTGTAGCCTGAAGACATACATTTGGGAGTCCTTGGTGCACTGGACACCTGGTAGGTACGTCCATGATGGGGAAGAGATTGCTCAAGGAGACAAGAGGAGGAATGTTCAACAACAAAAATGGAAACCGTGGGCCACAGAGGGCAACCAGGGAAGAATATTTAACATGCACAGACAGGCAGGGCGCCCCAGAACCAGCAGACAGTGGCACTTGGAAAACCAAGAGGAGCTAATGGTGTCATTACTATTATTTTAATGTAGAGTGTTCACCCTCCTCTTCCCCCAAATTTAAATTTCCTTCAGTGCCTGATTCAGTCAAGGGAGCATAGTAAACGCTCAATAAATTCAGGCTGAAGCAGCCTTCGCCCCCATCAACCTAAAATGTTTCTTCATCCTATTTCTTCGAATAAACTTGAATTTATAAACTACAAGTTCACCTGAATCAATGTTATAACCTGTATGTCCTTCCTGCGCCCGCTTTGGAATGAGTTCCAAAACTGTACTACTTACTGGGGCATCTCTAATGCTAAAGGCGACCGTGGGCTGTTTTTTTAACTACTATTCCTAAGAAACTGTTACGAAACCAGGTTCAGGACTTCCAAGCAGCGTGTCATTGAAAACCTGCTGGGAGGCCGGGGAAGGAGGCGGCCACTCTTTCTTGCCACACTTCACCATGAGCCGGGGCAACGCGTTTACGAAGGCTTTTCCTCTAGCAGGTCAGGGCCCGGGTCGGGGACACGCGCCCCTGCGCGCGCACGGGCCGGCCGCCCGGGGGACACGCTGCTTCCAGGTGCCCCCACCCGCCGAAGCCCCGTGCTCGCTGGGTCCGCCCCGCCGGGCTGGAACATCCGCGTGAACGAGCCGGGCGCCGGCACGACCACGGGCGCGGGGGAGCTCGCGCCGCCCCGCGCCGGCACCGCCGGCCTCACCTGCGGCCACCTGCCCCGGTGGCGAGCCCAGCGCCCCGCTCCCGCCTTCGGGAAGATGCTCGAGCCCCTGCTCTCGCGGGATCTCGCGCGCCATCGAATCCCCGCGGGAATACCGCCCCGCGGGTCCGACCCGGGAACTCGGGGCGGGGCGGGGTCGGCCGCGGAGCGCGGGGCGGGGCCAGCCCGAGGAGGCGGGGCGAGAGCGCAGGCAGAGGGGCGGGGCTGCCGGGACCTGTTGATCGCAGGTGTCACCGCCCGGACAGGCCCCGAGGGTGTCGGCGTGTGCGCATGCTCCGTGCGCAGGGTCGCGCCGTGGGCGGCGGAGTCCGGCTGCCCGCGCTCCTGCTCCCCGCGCGCGTCGGGCCGGTGGCGGCGGTCGGCGTGTCAGCCCGGTGTCGGCGGCGCTGGGCCAGCGGGCGGGCGCCCTGAGCGAGAGGCAGGGCCGAGCCCAGGTAAGTGGCCGGAACGGGTCCCTGGATGGAGATCCAGCGACCTGCGACCCCGCGGGCCCGACTGGGACACCAGGCTCCAGCGCCGCGACTCTGTCCGCCCCCCACTCCCGGGCCGACGCGGGTGCCTGGCCGGGCCGGCGGGTCCGCGCTGACCGGGTCGCGGCGGGTGGCCCGGGACGACCTGAGTCCCCGGGGGCGCTCAGGGCGCGGATGCGGGCGCCTGCCGGCTGCCCCGGCCACGGCCCCGGCAGCTGCTTTTCCCGGGGTCCGCTGGGCTCTGCGGCCCTCCCGAGAGACGACAGGTGAGCGGTCCGGGAGAGCCCCGGGCCGGTGGTGCTGGGTGGCAGCAGCCACTTGCAAAGTTAATGTTTAGCTTCCAAACGGCCGCTGATGGGACATTTCCCAAGTATTTCAAACCGCGCCGGGAACAGGAAGTACCTGCGCAGGTGGCGCGGCAGGGCCCGGAGCCCGCAGCCTGAGCGCGTCCTGGGCTCTGGTCCCGCTACAAAGTTTCCTGCAGCCGCGGCGACGGAGCCGTGCAGAGCCTCCTGCAGGCTCGGCGTGCGCGCGGCGCCCGGGCCCGGCGCTGCTGATCTGGGGCGTGTGTGGGTGGTGGTTTTGCTTTTTTTGCAAGGAATGTTCAAGGCTGTTTTTTGAGGGATGTTTAACCGTAAACTTAGGAAGTTCTTTGTGATGCGGGGCTGGTTCGCTTTTAGTTCTGGTCTCTAATAAAAAAAAAAAAAAGCATTGCTGATTCTCAGTAGTTAAAAGGAGTAGCAAGTGCTTACACAAAATGAACTTTTGGCTCAATTGATATTTAACTTGTTAGTTTTATCAGTTTTATTTTCTCTTCTTTCAAGTTCCATGATGATGGTCTAGGCAAAGATCCTAAGTCCTGTTAAAGAGACATTAAACAAACAAAACTTATTTTGCAAAAGTACTTTGTGATTTATCTGCCATTGTCATAAGAATTCCAAATAGACTGATTCACTGTAGGTAGGAGTTAATTATAGCCTGAAAAATCATGATTTTTATTTTAGTTTTACATTTCAGAGGATTTTAAAATTAGCTGTTTGGACAATTTCATAAACCATGAAAGTTATTTATTTAAATTTGTTCACAAATTAAACTCACTGGTAAGTTATGTGTATTCTTTCCTACAGTGTTAAAAAAAATATATGCCTGAGAACAGACCTTTCTTTTTCCCTATTCCTGAAAAAATAATTTCATAAATGTATGTAGATGGTATATCATTCATGGAACTTGATACTAATAGAGAATCCATTAATATTGTTATTTTCTCTAGAAGATACAAAAAGTAGTTTTTGAAAAGAGCTATTTTAATGGGGCAGGGGAACCTTTTTTTTTTTTTTTTTACTTAGTTTACTCTTTTCCTAAAAAAAGAAAGAAAATCACAAAACTTATAATTTTAGTATGCACCATGATTCAAGATCTTTTAATATTATTTAGTGTCAAATAAATGTTTATTTTACACTGTGTGGTATCAAGAAGTACACTTTCGGAATCATATGGTTTAAAAGTTTGTTTTTGTTTTAGCAGGGCACAGAGTTAAATTATGAAAATTCTGATCTATTTTAGGGTGATATACACATTTAAAAGTCAAAATCAGAGTTACTTTGCATGCGGGAACTGTTAGAAGAAATTCACTTACCTACCATTCTACAGAAGACGTTGCTTTACCCCACAATTTTCCAAAAATATGTTTGAAGTCTAGTGTGAGGTGTAGATTAAGCTATCCTACAGAGACATTTAGTTACTAGAATACTTAGCAGATCTTGTTGTTTGACGGCTTTAACTATAAGGTGTTTCTCAATTATAGACCACAGAGACAGCCTGCAGCAAGGTAGCTTTACTGCATCTGCAAGTTTTTTTTTTTAATCCTCCCTTGGGGATATTTTTCTATTGATTTTCAAATAGAGTGGGAGGGAGGGAAAAAGAAACAAACATTGATGAGACGTGAATTGGTTGCCTCCTACACCACCAGGGATCAATCCAAAACCGAGGTAGGTGCCCTTGACTGGAATCAAACCTATGACTCTTTGGTCCCTGGGTCAATGCTCTAACCACTGAGCCAAACCAGCCAGGGCGCATCTGGAAGTGTTTTGAACTTGAAGTATGCTAGATATGCTAGGGCCCAAGGACTGTCTATCTAGCCTAGTATTGCTCAGGAGCTCTTGGAATAAGGGAGGAATGTGCTCATTTATGTCATCTTTGGAGAGCTAGCTAAAAATTAGTGATGATGTAAATGCTGAGTTAGTATATTATTATTAATGTTGTACCGATGCAATGATTTTAGAGAATTTTGCATTGCAGTATTTGCACATAGTAGGAGCAAGATGAATGCAACCTATAAAATTGTCAAAGGTTATTTCAACTTTATGTAAAATCCTAATCTTGGCAAGTTATTATGTATTTTATTTATTTTTTAAATCCTCACCCAAGGACACTCTTCCATTTTTTGTTCAGATAGTGTGGGAGGGAGAGGGAGGAAGAGAGAGAGAGAAACATCAACGCGAAAGGGACACATCGAGTGGCTGCCACCTGCACAACCCAACCAGGGCCGGGGACAAACTGCAACCGAGATACGTGCCTCCAGCGGGAACCGAACCCGGGTCTCTCCGGACCGCAGGCTGATGCTCTAACCGCTGAGCAAAGCCGGCCAGGGCTGTATTTTATTTTTAATACTAGGAATACTACATATATAGAATATTTAGGCAAAAAATATCTGTTCTTTTCCAAGTTAACCTGTATCTTTTATCATGAGTTCCTAAACTGGGCTCCATGATTAGAACTGGAGCCTGTGGTTAGAGCTGACTTCTAACAACCAGCGTTATTCCCAGGAGTCCTGAGACTTCATCAGGTGTCCAGAGGGGTCCGTGGCACACGCACAAATGCCAGAAACCATTGCATCCTATCGAAGAATTTTAGTTTTACATGGGTCACTTCAGAAAAGTGACTTTGTATATTCGTATTTGTAATTTATCAGAAAATAAAATGTTACACAGTATAAAGCATATTTGAATATCTTAGCCATGTTAATGAACAAAATCACTTATCTGAGTTGTCGTGGTATGTTTTAAATTAATTTGGAAATAATGACTTAGTCTTCTATTTCACAAATACAGACCTACAGAAAGCAGTTTGAAGAACTCCTTTTCCTTTGGAATTTGGAAGTTTTTTACTTGCCTTTTGTGCTTTTCCAAGTTAGTAAATTTATTCAGTAAACATCTTTTGACCTGTAGTTGTACACTAGGCATTAGGCATTCAAAAATCAGGAAGACAACATTAAAGTGCTCGTATACATGAGTTCTTCCTTTTCTAAGCCCCATCTCTGGCTATTGCCAAACCTCCCCCAACTGCACTGAGATTCTAAAGATAAAATAGTCTTTTTTCTTATGCTCTTGCCTGCGCAAGATGCTGCTTCTTCTCTTCCTATTCCCTTTTCTTTTAAATAGTTATTTATTTATTTAATTGATTTTAGAGAGAAAGGAAAGAAGAGGGGGAGATAGGAACAGCAATGAGAAACATGAATCAGCTGCCTCCTGCACGCCCCCTACTGGGGATCGATCTGAAACCTGAGCATGTGCCCTGACCGGGTTTGGGAAGCAGACCAGTGACCTCTTGGTACATGGGGCCATACTCAACCAACTGAGCCACACTGGCCGGCGGTATTCCCTTTTCAAGTCCCAGTGACCGCACCGCGCCTGGGAAGTACTTTCTGATCCAGCAAAGGACAGTGGAGCACGTGCTTTGGTTAAGGATTTACGCTGGGTCGTGTCTAGGGAGACAGAATAGCCAAGGCACCCGAAGATGATGACGTACACTGTCATCTAAAGCATCTGGAGAATACTCAACGGACCCCTCGGGATGGTAGTGCATACGGGCGGAGACTCAGACATGGTGACAGAAGGGCAAGGTGACATTTTAGCTGCTTTCATTATTTATTTATTTATTTATTTTTATCCTCACCCGAGGACATTTTTCCATTTTTTGTTCAGATAGAGCGGGAGGGAGAGAGAGGAAGAGAGAGAGAAACATCAGCATGAAAGGGACACATCGAGTGGCTGCCACCCGCACGACCGACCAGGGCTGGGGACAAACTGTAACTGAGGTACATGCCCTTAGCAGGAACCGAACCTGGGTCTCTCTGGACTGCAGGCCAGCGCTCTAACCACTGAGCAAACCGGCCAGGGCTGCTTTCATTATTTTTTTTTTTGGCTGGATGGATCATCATGTTATTTATGAATTTAAATTATTATTAAGGATGTCTGTATTTTTCTGAAAAGTTTTACGGACAGTTGTCCCCCCTTATCTGTGGTTTAGCTCTTACTATTTGAGTTATTTAGTCTGAAAATATTAAATGGAAAGTTCCAGACATAAACAGTCCAGAAGTTTTAATTGTGCACTGTACCTCGTGGCACGAAGACCTCTTGTGCTGTCCGTCGCTGTCCCCAGGTGACAGCTGCTCACTCGGGTCTCCACGCCAGGACACACCTCCCGGTCAGCCCCCCAGCCCCCTTGGGGGGCTCGCATCCCTGGTGTCAGGGCGCCAGTGGCGTGTTCCCCTCACCCGCCTGTGACTCAGTAACGGCCCCAAGCGCCAGAGTCGCGGTGGTGGTGCTCCGGACACGCGGAGAGAAGCTGCAAAGTGCTCCCTTTACGCGAAAGGCGAGTTTTCTTAGTAAAGAAAGAAAAGTATCGTATGCCGAGGTCACTAAGGTCTATGGTAAGAAGGGCTCTTCTATCTGCGAAATTGTGAAGAAGGAAAAAGGGGTGCTCGTTTGCTGGGGGGAGGACACAGCGACATGACTTTCTTACAGTGTATACTTTTTCTGTGTTATTATTGGTTGTCTCTTACTGTGTCTAATTTACAAACAAAACCTTCTCATAGGTATGTATGTACAGGAAAGAACATAGTATATACAGGGTTCGGCACCATCCGAGGTTTCAGGCGTCCACTCACTGGGGCGTTGGCACAT